TAATTTCTTTTTAAATTAATTATATTTCTTCAGTTTGTATCCCAGCTGTACCCCCCTCCCTCTTCCCTTCCCATTTGCATCCATTCTCCCTCTTCTCGTCCCATCCTCCCCACCCCAAGTCCACTGATAGGGTCAGTCCTCCTCCCCTTCCATCTGACCTTAGTCTATCAGGTCTCATCAGGACTGACTGCATTGTCCTCTGTTGCCTGGTAAGGCTGCTCCACCTTCAGGGAGAGGTGATCAAAGAACTCAGAGCCAGCCCCTGAGTTCATGTCAGAGATGGTCCCTGTTCCGCTTACTAGGGTACCCACTTGGACACTGAGCTGCCATGGGCTACATCTGAGCAGGGGTTCTAACTTCTCCAACATGGTCCTTGTTTGGAGTATCAGTCTCACAAAAGATCCCTTGGTCCAGATTTTTTGGTTCTGTTGCTCCCCTTGTGGAGCTCCTGTCCTTTCCAGATCTTTCTATCTCCCCTCCTTTCATAAGAGTCCCTGAACTCTGACCAAAGTTTGGCTATGAATCTCAGCATCTGCTTTAATACCCTGCTGGGTAGAGTATACCCTGCTGGTAGAGCCCTCTGTGGTAAGCCCCTATCCTGTTTCCCTGTTTTCTCTCTCCTCTGATGTCTGTCTCATTTGCCTTTATGAATGAGGATTGAGCATCTTACCCAGGGTTTTCCTTCTTGATTAGCTTCTTGAGGTGTACAGATTTTAGTATGATTATCCTATATTATATGTCTAATATCCATTTATAAGTGAGTATATACCGTGTGTGTCTTTCTGCTTCTAGGATGCCTCACTCAGGATAATCTTTTCTAGTTCCCACCATTTGCCTACAAATTTCATGATTTCCTCGTTTTTAATTAATGAGTAGTATTCCATTGTGTAAATGTACCACAGTTTCTGTATCCATTCCTCAACTGAGGGACATCTGGGTTGTTTCCAGGTGTTGGCTATTACAAATAAAGCTGCTACAAACGTGGTTGAGCAAATGTCCTTATTGTGTACTTGAGCCTCTTTTGGATCTATGCCTGGGAGTGGTATAGCTGGATCTCGAGGTAGCACTATTCTTAATCATCTGAAAAAGCACCAGATGGCTCTCCAAAGTGGTTGTACGAGTTTACATTCCCACCAGCAATCCCTCCACACTTGCTAAAGCTGCTTACAGTCCTCCATTGCTGACCCTAACTCAAAAGGCTTTATTCTCCTCTCTCTATATTCCTCCTGACAGAAGCTGCTAACCTTATGGGTGCTTTAGTCCTCTCCTCCACCCTGCCAAAACTAATGAAATGGTCCTGGAGCCTCACTCTGAGTCCGGTTTTGTCGTTAGATTTATTTAATTATTTTTAATCAAGAAGACTCTAAGAACTCACAAATGGGAACCGCTTATTCCCCAGTAATGTTTGGACACCCATGTGCTCATTACTTCTGTATGTGGGAAAGTCGGGGAACCACTTAGTCATGGTGATCCGCCCCAACTAGCCCACAACGCTCTAAAACTCTACAGAGGAACAAAGACCTAGTCTCTTCAAGTTCTCCAAACAAGGAGGATGGGGTGTTTGGGGCCCCGGGTCCTTCTGTTGCTGTCAGCCTCCCTGGCTGTAACTCAGGCTTGCTCAGGTGAGTGCGAGGTGGAGAACAAGACTGCCTCTGAGGGGAGGAGCAAGGGCTCCAGCAGGGAGAGCACCAGGAAAGCTACCTCTCTGCCCTAGCCCAGCCAGACCCCCTCTCTCCCTGAACTCTGACAGGCTCCCTTCTCCAGTCCGGAGCCCTGCGCCCTGCTCTTCCAGTGGGTGCATCTGTCCTCAGGTCCAGCCAGATGCAGGGTCACCGCGGGCCACCCCTAGTCTTACACTCCCTGCGGTATTTCACCACCACCTTGTATGATCCTGGCAACCCCAAACCTCGGTTCACGGTCGTCGGATACGTGGACAACACACAAATATTGAGCTTCGACAGCAACAAGGCAGGCCAGCAAGTGGAGCCGAGGGTGCCTTTTATAGCCCAGGACCCAGAGCATTTGGAAGAGCTGACGCGCCTCTGCAGGGGCATCTTAATACTTGGCCGAATGGAACTCTTGACCCTGTTCAGCTATGATAGCCAGAGAGAGAATGGTGAGTGACTCTACTCAAAGGCTAGTCTACAGTTATTATTCCTGGGGCCCTGGAAACATACCTTGAGTTAGTGAAATCCGGAAATCCCGCCATGCTGCAAAAGCCTGCAGAATTTCATTGGGCTTTCATTTTAGTTTGAGATAGGCTTTGACCAATCACGTGCAGGCTGTGTGTTGGACTAACCTAGAGACCCTGGGCTAACCTAGAGACCTTGTTGACCTGAGACTCTGGCTGCACAGGGTCTCACACTGTCCAGTGGCTATTCGGCTGTGACATCGGGCCAGACCATCGCCTCCTCCGTGGGTATAAGCATGTCGGTTATGAAGGCCAGGATTACATCTCTCTGTCGGAGGACCTCCGCTCCTGGGTCGCAGTGGACACCAAGGAGGCTCAGATCACCAGGCGCAAGTGGGAGGCAGCTGGTGTAGCAAAGTCATGGAAGTCTTTCTTGAAGGGCAGGTGCATGGAGTGGCTTCTCAAATACTTGGAAAAAGGGAAGGAGATGCTGCAGCGTGCAGGTATGAGGGGTAGCTTCTATTGTCCTTTGAGAAGAATTTATAGGAAGGAAAGAGAATGGGACCATCTCCTAAACCAGCTATTGAGAAATACTGTTCCCCAGGCATGACATGGGCTGTTAATGGTACAAAATGAGAGTGTCAGTGATAGCCCTCCCTGGGGATTCTAGGCTTTCACACCCTCCTTGTTCCCCAATCACAAGGAATTCTACCAACTGCACCTGGTCTACAGAAATGCCAGTGTGTATAGGGTTAGGGGTTTAATTGATGGGATGGGTGGAATGGCTAATGCCATTAATCCCAGAGGGATAGGAAGGTTCAGACAGCCTTGTTTACAGAGCAAACTCCAGCAGAGCAGGATTGGGTGAGGGTGGGAATAGGGTGAGCTTAATTGATGAAGTCCACAGGTAGCAAACTCCAGTGAGGCATCTTCTGTGATTTGCCATTCATGCTGGAGTGGGCTTTTCAGTGATGCAGTTGTATTTGAGTATTAAGCACCTCCTCTCTCATGTAATTAACCTTCAATAAATTTACAAGTTTGTCCAACTAGTGTTGGATGGTAAAGATGGACTTGGATTGAGTTCATCCTTTGATCTGTTGTTGGGTCCTAGCTGGGGAAAATAGATGTCTGATCATATCTCTCCAGAGAAAGTAATAAGGCATTTGATATCTGAGTGGACACAGCAGGGTGTTTCAAAGCCTGGACAAAGTCTCATGGTTCCTGCTATAGCATGTTAGATGAGCAAAGGAAGCTAAACCATCCGTGGGGGAGAAATACTGATGTGTCCCTGCTTTCTCCTTGGGTGTGGGAAGGCAGCTGACAGGTGCATGGCCTTTGACATCGAGGAGAGCACTTGCACCTGAAACTGCTCCATGTGAAGGTGCTGGGGATCCTGGGTAGTCTTCCTCTCCATGGTGTGAGCACCAACAACAGCCATTTCCGGAGTAACACCTGTGGGGCAGGCGCCTAAGCAGGCAGTGCAGCAGCTGTTGGCCTGTGCAGTGGGCCAGGAGACTTGCAGCTGAGGTGGAGCCATCTTCCTGGAGAGAACTTGCCCACCTAAGGCAGGAAGTACAATGGGAAGAAGAAACGCAAATGATACCTTTTGTACTAACTTCAAAGTGGAGAGACACTCTAAGGGGGACTGGAGCCAGAATGGAGGTGCTGGCTTAGCAGTCCTCAAGGCTGAGGAGAGAGAGGTGAGGGAAGCATAGATCTGAGCTTCTGGAATCCAAACACTTGGAAACTGTGATAAGAATAAAACAATAAAAAGAAAGTGAAGTAAAAATGATAGAACACCCCTCAGGCCAGCCTTTAATTCAGACAAAAATCTACAATTCAGCATGCCTGTGGGGCCTTACTGATGATTAAGGAATCTTCTGCCTCTAAACTTCTTGAAACAAGCAAAACATTTTAAAAGATTAAACAAGCACCCCTCCCCCAGGGCTCCCGAGAATGTGGGGCATCCTTATAGATGGGGTCTGAGTGCTGTGAAGCAGAGCAATCCAGTGCTTGTGACTTCTCACCGAAGACTGCATGATCTGAGGCAATGGGGAGGGATTATTGGGCCAGCAGGCTGTCTCAGTGCTTGGTGTTTGTCATGAAGCTTGACAACCTGAGTTCGGAACCCTGAGCACACTTGGTAGGAGAGAACTGACTCCAAGTTTGCTTCTGGCCTTCATATATGTGCTGAGCATGTGCAGGGGTTGGCACGCACACGCCCCCCACCCCCCATATTTGAATGCTAGGTTTTCAGTGTGGACTGTGTAGGATGAGGAGGTGAGGCCTTGTTGGAGAAGTGTGGCATTCAAAAGCCAGTGCCAACTGCAGCATTTTGTTCCCCAGCTTTTATGAGTTCCTTGGCCATGCTGTCTTGTCACAGCAATGGAACAGTACTAAGACATGGTCATTGGTGCCGTATCTGGGATGAACATTTACTTGTTCATGCCTCCCAGAAAGCCATCAAACACCCTCTGTTATTATTTAAAAGCAATGAGGCTGGAAAACCGATATTCTCTGCAGGAAGTTTATTAGGAGAGTAAGGAGGGATTGGGAAGCAGGACATGGTGGGGAGAGAGAGAGGGAAGGAGGGATGGGGCGCCTAGAGAGAGAGAGAGAGAGAGACAGAGAGACAGAGAGACAGAGAGACGGAGAGACAGAGAGAGACAGAGACAGAGAGACACAGAGAGAGAGAGAGACACAGAGAGAGAGTAAGAAAGATTAAGAGGGTAAGAGAGGGAATTAAGAGAGGGACCACCTGTCCGTATCAGCCCTTTAAGGGGCATGGTAACCACGCCTTCCAGGTGTGGTCACCTGGCTGGCTGGCAACACATGATGACATCATAGGTTGCTGGGTAACTAACACAGGAGCAGGTTGTGTTCCAAAATGCTAACACCCTCCTCTCCTTGGTCTGGAGCAGAGGAAGCCTCCCTGGTTTCCAGATCTGACAGGACACACCCTTGCTTCAAGGGTTGTATTCATTGCTTCTCTCATTCCTGTGACTACTTCCTGACAAGGAGCAGCTTCCGGGAGGAAGAACATAGTGCTGCTCTCCAGCCATCAGCTTTCAGTTCATAAGGGAGCACACAGGGGTGGGAGTTGCTCAGGACCACAGCCTAGGAACCCTGCTCACCTCTGGGCAGACCAGAAAGCACAGGGTAGCTAGAAACAGGCTACAACCCTCAAGGCCCACCTCCCAGTGACCAACTCCCTCCTAAGTATGCCAGGACAATCTTCAGCATCCCCCCAAGCCATGGGAGTACAGTTTACATTCAAACCATAATAGAGATTCCATCAATTCCGGGATAAAGGGGTACCAACCCTGAAATGAGGGACTGGCAGCCCTCTTTCCATCTCTCCCTTTCTGCCAGTGTTCACAGACCACAGTAGAACTATTCAGATCACTGGAGTTTAACCACTCAGAGGCACAAGACTTCTGTCATAGCTTTCCAAGGAATAGGTATTTCTACATCCCACGTGCATGTTGTTGAAGTGCTGCTCTCTACATTTCCAACCCTGCTCTGGGGATGATCACATGATTAGTGCTCAACTGGTCCACTGGAAGAAACTGGTTTTCTTTGATTCTTCTCCTCAGACCCCCCTAAGACAAACGTGACTCATCACCCCAGACCTCAAGGTGATGTCACCCTGAGGTGCTGGGCCCTGGGCTTCTACCCTGCGGACATCATCCTGACCTGGCAGAGGGATGAGGAGGACCTGACCCAGGACATGGACCTTATAGAGACCAGGCCTGCAGGGGATGGGACCTTCCAGAAGTGGGCAGCTGTGGTGGTGCCTGCAGGAGAAGAGCAGAGATACAGGTGCCATGTGCTGCATGAGGGGCTGCCCGAGCCCCTCATCCTGAGATGGGGTAAGGAGGCTGTGTGTGGGCACAGAGTCTGTCCTTAGGGAAAGAGGAGCCCTTCTGCAGAGCCTGAGCAGGGTCAGGGTCCCCCACTTCTATCCTCCCCTATTCTCTCTCCCAGAGCCTCCTCCCTCTCCCACCACCCCCATCATGGGGATCATTGCTGCTCTGGTTCTCCTTGGAGTTTTAGTTGCTGGAGCTGTGGCTGGCATTGTGATGCGGAAGAAGAGTGCAGGTAAGGACGATATTTCAGACTTGGCTTTTACTGAGAAATCTCAAGCCCTCGATACAAACGTGCCCACCTTCTGCTTTGTTACTCTAAAGTGTCCCCATTCATGTTTCTCAGCCACTTTTTAAGCTAACTTTGTAAGGAACACCTGAAAAGAGAGAGCAAGGTTTCACATGGAGGGTTCTAGTGATGTGGACAGAAATCTGAGAAAGAGTCTCAGGAGGAGGAAATGGGACTTTGGGAGGTTACTTGACCTTTTTCCTTTGCATTTTCTCATGTTTCCTGAGCCTGCTCTAGGTCTGTCTGCGTGCCTACCCCTGGAGTATACCTGAGGTTAGGACTAGGAGTTTCCTCTGGAACCAAATCATTCTGCACTCTCCCCTGCCCTTATCCTGTCTGAGATGGAAAAGGATGTAGTTAGGTAACTCATTGTGTTTCCACGCCTTGACCTCTAGTCTCACCCAGCACTGGAAGTCTGGAAAGGAAGCAGAGACCTATTCCTCCATCATTCTGTTAAGACCTCCCTGCCGCTGGCCACAGCCTGAGTCTTGGCTCCAGTGGCAGGAGCAGTGTATTTGCATAGGGCCCAGTGTTGTTGGGCTTTTGTGTTCTGTTCCTAGATAAGATGACCCAAGCTTGGGATTTTGGTTTTAAAAAAAAAAAAAAAAAAAGTCTGTATTTCTTTATGTCTAAACGATAAGAATTTAGATTCCATTATTTGTGCCTATGGGTCAGGAATCAGTCCAGGGAATTTTTCAGATAGCAACCAGCAGTCAGGGACTTTTACCTTATGAATTGCTTACTGAATCTAGTACCTGAGGCTAAACTCAAGGAGAGAGAACTCAGTGGCAGAGAAAACCATGTGTACTTGTTCACATGGCAACTCAGGGCTGGTGACTTGTAAGTTCTCTGGGCAAAGTATTGTATTCCCATTTGGGACTGTTCTTTGTTGTGCGTGCTGCTTGGGTGATTGACATCAGTGGCCTCAGATCTTGTTCCAGAATTCTCTGACCTCTTTCCAGACACCACTGTCTTACATAAAGCAGGGTATTACTTCCTTTTTGTTTTCTTTTTGGCAGGGTCTCACACTGCACCCCAGGCTGGCCTGGAACTCACTATGTAGCTGTGATGCTAATCTTCACTATCAACGTGACTGGATTTAGAATGTCCCAGGACTTGCAATTCTGGAGACATCTGTGAAGGTGTTTCCAGAGAAGATTAACTGGGAAGGGGAGAGCTGCAATGAGTGTGTGTGGCATCAACACTCGATTTGGGGGTCCAGACTGAAGACAAGAGCAAAGGGAGAAAGCCAGAGGAGAGTCAGCATCCCCACACTCTGTTTCCTGATGCATGGGGATGGGAGTCTTCCCAGCCACGGTCTCCAGCTGCCATGAACTCCTCCATGTCTTTCCTGCCAGTGTGGGTTGTATCTTAAAAACCAAAATAAATCTTCTTGCCTTAAGTTGCTCCTTTCTTCTTTCAGGTATTTATTTTCGTACTAATGAGAAAAGTGAGTGGTACAATAGTCTAGCTTGACCTTCTACTCCCATGAACCATGTCGCCTCACCCTGAGTGTTATTATTGCATGTGTGGGGGACATGTGGGTGTATGAGAATTGTATCAGGGAAACCAGCCCCGAGAATTATGGGACACACCCAACCAAGGAAAGGGTCCATCTCCTTCCCAGAATCGCAGAAAGAAGCAGACCCCCAGCACTGTAATGGTTGGGAGTTTGAAGGTGGAGCTGAAGGGCGTAATGCACGAAGTCACACCACAAGGCAGGCCTCACGTGATTGGCTTATTAGGGAAGAGAACACAGAAGCAGTTCTGGGGGGAGTGGCAGGAAGAGGAAAAGGGCAGAGCAAAGTGGACAGTGTCTTTTATAAGGTGACTGTGCATGTGCAAGAGGTAGACGCGTGCTTTGTGGCTGTCGAACAGCTGTCACAGCTCAGCACGTGTTCAGGCACCAACACGTGGTTTCTGGCCGCTGGAGAAGGTTGCTCAGATGATGATGATGATGATGATGATGATGATGATGATGATGATGACATGCTTTGCTATTGCCAGGTTCCTGGGTCTGATGGCGGAGCTCCCTGATTACTAATATTCCTCCCTTTTGGTTATTATAAAAGGAGGAACTGAAGATGAGATGGTGGTGGGTGGGAATGGGGGCATAGCTGGCTCTTCAGGTTGCTTCCTGCCAATTAGGGACATTGTCATTCTCAAGGTACAGCTGGTTCCCACCATCACAGTATACCGGATAGCCATCAGCATCAGGTGCCTTGGTGACAGGTTGATAGTCCTGTAAAAGCAACCGATTAAAGGTTTGGTTAGAGATTCTTCGCATTTGGCTGGAGAAGAGGTTAGCAAAGCAGGGGGCAAACAGTAAAAAATAAAAAAATAAAGGAGAAAAGAAAAGGAGAGAGGTCAGAAAGAGCAAAATCCGTTTTCATATAGGGTTTTCAAAAGTCCATGCTGAGCCTCACATCCAGGTCCTCCATAAAAGCAGTAAATGCTCTTAAATGGGCCATCTCTCCAGCTCCCAATTTATGTTCCTATAAGCCCACTTCTGAAGTATCATGAAATGCTACTGAAACCTCTCTAACCTTTGAATCCGTTCTGTAATCATCATAGATCCATATATTTACTGTGTGATATATCATATTTGAGTTAATGTTGGCAATTAAGATTAGAGTCAAAGGGTATGGGTTTGCTTCAGTTAAATTACAGCAGGATTATCTGCAAAATTCCTGCTGTGGAAACCAATTTACTCAGTGAATTTTATTGTTATTCACTTGTAGCATGGCAGGAAAATGTAAAAGATAAATGTTGTTTATCTTTCTTTGTGTTTGTTTTGTTTTTTTGAGGCAGGGTTTCTCTGTGTAGCCCTGACTGTCCTGACATTGACTCCGTAGTCCAGGTTGGCGTGTGCCACCACCGCCCAGCCTCATCAAGGTTTCTTTGGTTGAATAAGGTCACTCATAACCGAGGTTGGTCTCCAACTCATGGCAAACCTCCTGCCCCAGCCTGGCCTCCCACATGCTGGTCCTTCGGTCACAGGCCATAACATACCACCATGTTTTACATAGTTTTTAAAATGTTACATAATTTTGAAAATATTTTTATGTCCATGTGTGTGGGGGATCAAACATGTTCTGTGATTCTGATCAAAGGTGTTTTAAGGAAAACAGCTTTCACGTGCATTCCACAGACTCAGATGAACTCCTTTTCAGAAAGAAATCAAATAAGAGCAAGAAATACAGTAAAACAGAGAATTCAGTTTTTGTTGTTGTTGTTGTTTGCTTCTCTGCTTCCCATTCATGGTAACAGGATTTTAATGGTTACCTTAAAACCTAAAGAAAGGCAGGATCCTAAAGACCCATGCAGCTGGAGAGATGGTTCAGCAGTTAAGGCCCTGGCTGCTCTTCCCGAGGATCGGGGTGGCTCACAACCATCTCTACTATCAGTCCTGGGGGATGTGGTGGCTACTGTGGCCACTG